CGTATGTGCTAGGGCTGACCAGCAGCGTAAGCACCAGTTTAGACACGCTGGGCTTCCTGATGCTTGAGAAAAAGTCATTTGGGCAGAGCTTGAGCCCTGAAGGAGAGCACGACCCCAGCACGGCACACTGCCTGGTGCTTCTGGGAAACCAGCAGGCGCAGGGGCTCCTCTTGTCCTTGCCTGACTCATGGGGACTTCCAGAGCTTTAGCGGCTTGACCACGTGTCTGAGGCAAAGGAAATACAAGGCCAAGTGCTTGGGATTGCTCAGCTCCCAGCAGTTGGCAGGAGCTTCGTGGGAGCTGTGCACAGGCAGGCACTGGAGGAGGGATGGGTTGAAGGGTGAGATGCTGGAAAGCCCCCGACACATCAGCTGGTTTCCAGTTAAACACAATCAGGCAGCAAGGGACTTGTTGCATTAGTCGCAGCCATGTGCCTAGCGTTTGTTTTTGTGGTGACCTTAGACTGTCCCTTTCCTCAGCACAACACAGACAGGCCATGGGACAGACTCCCCGGGCGTTACCTGGGATAACAGGGTCTGGACTTAACCCTTCGCAGCTCCCACAGGTGCAGCAGCCTGGCTAAGTGAGGCGAGGAAGGGGTGCTGTGGAACTGCCCTCAGAAGGGTCTTTCATGGCAGGGGGAGCCCTGGCAGCTAACGGGGACCTTCTCCACCTGCCTGTTGCGGTCGTGACGAAGGCAACGCCAGGCAGTGGGCATTGTTTGCTTCCACTTTTGGCACTGCCTCCCATGGCATCCTCACAGACGAGATGGCAAAGTCCGGGGTAGATAAGCGGATGGTGAGGCCGATTGAAAACTGGCTGAAGGGAGGGCTATGATCTGTGGCACAAAGTTCAGCTGGAGGCCAGTCACTAGTGGTGCATCCTGAGGGTCAGTACCGGGGTCGGTTCTGTTTAATGTCTTCATTAATGACCTGGATGACAGGACAGAGTGCACCCTCTGCAAGTTTGCAGTTGATGCAAAGCTGGCATGAACGGCTGGTAACACCAGCGGATCGTGCTGCTGTCCTGAGGGACTTGGAAGGCTGGAGAGATGGGCTGAGAGGGACCTGGTGCAGTTCAGCAAGTAGAAGTTCCAAGTCCTGTCTGGGGAGGAGCAACCCCAGGCACCAGGACACACCAGGGCTGTCCTGGTCAACACCAAGCTGACCACGAGCCACTAGCATGCCCTTGCGGCAAAGGCAGCCACCGGTGTCCTGGGCTGCATTAGGAGGAGCGGCACTGCAGGTTGAGGGAGGGGATCCTTCCCCTCTGCTCAGGACTACTGAGGCCATATCTGCAGTGCCAGGGCCAGCGTTCTGACCCCTAGCCCAGGCTGGCAGACATGACCAGACAAGAAGATGAACCCTAGACCCCCTCAAACAACCTGCCTGTCATTGTCGGGATCTGTAGACCATGCTCAGGCTCTCTGTCCCACTGCCTGAGGAACAAGCACACCTTGAATGAGCCACTTTGTCCTCGTCACTGTCTCCCCATTCAACCCAGACTTTATGCCAACGGATTTCAACCTTGCTGACGGCGCAGTTGGCTTCGTGGCTGACAGCAAGCCTCTAGCAGGACTCCAGCCATCCAGGAACCTGAACCAGGCTCTGCCTGCAGCGGGTGAAGGAGCGAGCCGTGACCAGAAAGCAGCTCGTACCATGGGTGAGTGCCAGAGCTCAAGGTGAACCAGACCCAAGGATGGGACTAGTGTGGGGGCACATGTGGAGGGAGGCAGGCACTAGGATGCTCTTGAAGAGGTGAAGGGTCGCATCCAGGATGTCAGAGTGCTGCAGGTTGGGTGCCTCTAGGGGAGCCTGGAGAGAAGCAGGCGATGGTGCTGTATCCCCTCTCCTTCTGGCATATCCTCCCTTGGCTTCTGCCCCCTGCACTGGACGCATAGCCCCTGCCTGCTCATGATGTTTCCTTTTTTTTTTTTTTTTTTTTTTCTCTTGAAGAGGTGAAGGGTCGCATCCAGGATGTCAGAGTGCTGCAGGTTGGGTGCCTCTAGGGGAGCCTGGAGAGAAGCAGGCGATGGTGCTGTATCCCCTCTCCTTCTGGCATATCCTCCCTTGGCTTCTGCCCCCTGCACTGGACGCATAGCCCCTGCCTGCTCATGATGTTTCCTTTTTTTTTTTTTTTTTTTTTTTTAAGCACTCTCCAGGAGAATGTCCCTCACCACTTGGTGAGTAGGGGTGCCTCTCTGGCCTAGGGGAGGGCAGCCCAGGGAGACGCTGCTGGGCAGGGGACTCCCATGGGCCAGCTCCCCGCAAGGTCCCAGCACACTCCATCCCTCTTGGCCACTAACTGGGGACTGAGGCAGTCACACTCTGGTGTCGACACTGCTTCCCCCCCGGCCCAGCAGTGAGGGGAAGTGCTTTGGGGGCTGATTTTGCCAGATGGGCACCACACACACGTGACGGGGCTGCTGTGCCATGGCAGGTGGAAGACCTTAGCACAGTCCTCTGGAAGATGGTGGCAGCGGGTGAGCTCCAGAGCCAGGGATTTACCCAGACAGACCAGGCCTCTCAGCACCCCAGCAAAAGAGGTGAGTGCCCAGCTCCCAGGATATCCTGGGACCTGACCCACCGCTGTCCTGCAAAGAGGCCATGGCAAACAGAGGCTGGGCTTGGTGTAGGAGGTGCTCATCACTTGGGGTGGAGGGTGCTCATGGTGTGAACTAAGGCATTCAGCTCCCAGGCTGTGCTCCTAGGTCTGACCTCAAATCAAAGAAGGGCCTGGGAGAAGAGATGGACATCTCCCTGCCTTTAAACTATTCAGCTGTAGCCAAGCACTGCTGCAGCCCCTCGCATGGGTGTCTTTTCCTTTTTCTCCCAGCTTGCTTCTGGAAATACTGCGTCACCAAATGAGGGGTACAGGAGGAGCTCTGCCTGCCTGCCAGCCTGCTCCCTGCCACCACTTCCCCAGTGCCTCCCGGCAGGCCCCCCACGCATGACCCCACGCCTTGCCACGGGCTGGTTTGCAGAGCTTTGAAAGGTCTCTGGTCCCTTCTGGGGAGAAGGGGAGAGGGTTTGCAGCAGAGGAGGTGTGTCGTGGGCTAGGAGAGTCCCATGAGTGTCCAGGGTGGAGGACGGTGTTTCTCCCACAGCAGGAGATCTCCAGGACCCATGGCAAAGCAGAGCTGCCACTGTGGCCTGGCAGGGACATGCTGGCTGCCAGCAGGAGCTGAATAAACCCCTCACGCCAGAGCAGCGTCCTGTGGTTACTCCATCCCCACTCTGTGCAGGGTCCCGCACCTCCCGCCGCTGCGTGCATGGCATGGGCAGACCACCGTGTGTGTGTCCTGGGGAGGGGACATCTTTCCTGTGGGCAGCGCAGGAGCTGCCATGTGCATCCCAGTGACCTGAGGCAATGGAGACCAGGGGCTACAGCTTCACTTACGCTAAATCTCAAAAGGGTTTCCACTGCAGGCAAGCCTCCTCCGCCCCCTGCAGCACCCTCCATGCCTGGTGGCCTTGGCCCATGTGCTCACAGGACACAATCAAGGCCTATTAAAATACAGTTTATTGCTGTTCTTAGTTTAAAAAACCCAAACAAACCAAAACCCGTTAATAACAAAACCAGTCCCCAAACCCAGTGCTATCAGAGGCAGGCTTGCAAGGACACACCTTTTAGTGCAAAGAGGGAAGTGGCAGTGAGGGCTGGAGGGGGGTCTGCCGCCGCTGTGTCCCCGCAGGACCCACCACACTCACTGTACAGTATTTTTTTGCCCATGGGGCTGGCTGGGGAGGGCTGGCTGAATTCACAGGCACTGGCAGGAGCCCTTGGGGGAGCTGGACATGTTGGATGGGGGAGGACAGGATGTCACGGCTGCGCAGAGCGGCTTTGGCTCCGCTGGCATCAGCGTCGCTGGAGGGGAAGGCACAACGCTGAGCCAGGGAGCACTAAACCTGCCCACCTATCTCCTACAGACACAGTGCTTTGCAAAGCAGCTGTTGCCCGCTCTCTTAGACTGGCCAGTACTGGGGTGTGGAAACCAGATGGATGTCCAACCCCACGCCTCTGTCTCCTGGTCAGGCACCTGAAATGCTAGTGGGGACCGGGGAGGGGGTGGTGAAGCTGGAGCCGCACATGGCTGCATCTCCTGCAGTATCCTGCAAGGCAGGGAGAGGTTCCTAAGCTTACAGGAGCTGGGCGGGACCTTGCAGACAGCAGCACGTGGCCCTGGGTGCTGGCACACACGGGAGGGATGCCCTGATCCTCAGCCCTCTGTCCTCAGCCCTTCACAAGTCCCTGCACCCCTCTGCCCCAATCACAGTAGGTCCTGGTGCTTTTGTGCCAGGCATCACCCCCAGCATCTTCCTGCCCCCATGTCCTAATGGGGAGTTAGACCCACGTTACAACCCGCTGGCAGCGAGAACAATTTGTCACTGCAATAAACTACTGGGGACAGAGCCTTTTGGTGTCTTCAGATGGAGTCCAGCTGCCTTTGTGGAAGAGAGGGCTTGCCCAAACACAGGCCATGGGGTGTGGTGCAGAAGGGCAATCGGGTGAATTCAAACAGCTCCAGCCCAGGTGATGCGCTGGGATTCGGGGATGCCTCTTCCCAAGCGTACAGGACAGCTGGGACCGCAAGGGGCTGGCAGAGCAGAGCAGCTCCAGCAGTGGATGGGAAGGCAGGGCTGGCCCAGCCATCTGGGGAGTCTCATCTCTTCCATCAAAGTGCTGCTGCAGAAGGCTAGAGCTCGGCTTTTCCATGACGCGTGGTCACAGGCCGCGAGACCTGTTTTCAGGGAGTGGGGATGCAGTTGCCACCGCAGCCACGCAAGGACTGGTCCGTACACGTGGTCAGCACTGACAGCGCATGGGGGCTGCAGCCAGCCGGCGGAGGAGGAGGAGGGAGCGGTGGGGGGCTGTGAAGCAAGGCGCTATTTCTGAAAGGCGGGGGTAGCAATGCCGTAAACCCCCTCCAGTCCCTCCCTCAGCCGGTGTTTGGTTGTGTCAGGACCGAGGCAGTGGAGGGCTCGCACCCCGCAGCAGGGTTAGGTCATCTTCCTGGCAACGCTGGCGTACGTGTGCTCTATCTCCTCATCCGCGGGACACGTGTGGCTGAACTCATCGCAGGCGTAGGCGTTGGTGAGGTAGCGCCAGACGCCTGTCATGTCCGCTGGGATCTCGAAGTCGCGGTACTTTTTGGCTGCGATCTAGAGAGGAGGAGGTGGCTGAGGCTTCCCAGTCCTCGGGAAGATACGCTCTCTGGCTTGGGGGTGAGAACAAATACGGGCCCCCCCAGCCCCTGTTTGCATCACCCCACCCTGTCACCACACCTTGGGGTGGGTGCCCCCACCTTGGCCCAGGAGCCAGTGCCATTACCTTGATGATATGCAGTTTGGGCAGGAGGTTGCAGTCAGCCAGCGTCAGGTGGTCTCCGTCCAGGAATTTCCTCTTGGAGACAGTGATGTCCTCCACGCTGTCCTGGTCAATCTCCTCAGGGAGAGGAGTGTTTAGGTAGACATCCAGCCGCTGAAACTCCCGCAGCAGGGCCTTCTCGAAATCTGGGTGGGCAAGGAAACAAGCGCAGTTAGCCTGGTGCCCCGGGCTCCCAGCAGAGCCCCAGGCTGCGCCAGGGTGGCCGAGCCTCTCCCAGGCTTTGCACGCAGGGAGAAAGCCCTCAGGACCACACCGGTGGTGCGCAGCACTGGACCCTGGCCAGAGTCTCTGCTCCCAGGGCGTCCCAGCAGCATCACTCCCCTCCCCTCCAGGACCATCATCCTCCCCTCCAGGACACGCTCTCCCCAGCGCCGTTAGCCCCGTGGAGCACAGGACTGCCTTCACCCTTCCTGCCCGCTCCTTCGCTTGCCAAGGAGGCTTTAGTGGGGAAGGCAGCAGGAACCCTAAGGTGGTGGAGGACTTGTCCACAGACAAAAGCATCTCTCCCCCCTGCCGCAGTGTGGTAGATCACAGCCCCGCAGCTCCCACCCGCATTTCTCACTGATATTTGCTTCCTTGCGTGGGTTCTTGATGTACGCCGAGAACTTGGCAAAGATGTCGCTCCCCACGTCGAAGGACTCCTTGTACTTGGGGCTCAGGTGCGGATACCTTTAAAGAGACACTCGCGTCAGTGCAGGCAAGGATGGAGGCAGAGGTTCAGCTGCGTGGTCCCCAGCTGCCAGATAACCCCAGCCTTATCTCCTGGGCCATGGTGCCCAGGGCTGGTAGTGGAGGATGCAGGTGATGTTCAGCTGGTTGTGGGAGAACAGTGATACTTTAAACTACTGCGGCGGCCACCCCAGGAGCTGTGTTACCTTGAGTGTTTGTTAGGGGAATATCACAGGGCAGAAACCGTGGTTTGGGGAAATGGGTGGCAGCAGAGCCCCGGCGCAGAGCTCTGCCCACAAGTAGCCCTGGCCCAGCCCGGAGGATGCCTGTTGGCACAGGAGGGGTCTGTGGAAGCCAGAAGCTCCTGTGACTTCCTCAGGAACAGCCTCGTGTGTCCCGGGGCGCACTGCAAGGGCAGACACATCTGAGGAGGTGGATGATGAACGCTTTTGAAGCTTCCTCTTTCGCATGCCCTGGGCGGGCTCATGGCCACAGGGGCATGGGGTGGGCTGGCTCGGTGGGCTGCGGGCAGTGCCCTGCATCAGCTCGGGGGGCACCGGACACCCCCGCAGCCCTTTGGGCCAGCTGCGCTGCTGCGTTCCAGCCAGGGCATTTGCTGAGTGCACCGGGTACAAATGGGCAAAGAGGGTCTCACGTTCCCCCTCTGCCTTAATGCCAGCTGCCACAGCCAGGTGCAAAACCATCGGCTCCTGGGGGCCCGTGCCTGCAGGGACCTCCCTGCACTCTCCCTCTCCCCCGAGCCCTGCCTGCGTCGAAGGACCGCTGTATTTCCTCCCGTTGTTTTCCGTCTTAGCCCATCCTGTACCCTCGCAGCCCAACCCACCACCTTCCCCCAGGGACGCAGCCCCTCAGCATCGCAACCCCTGGTCCTGCAGAGCACAGCTTACGGGGCTGGGTGGGGAGCCAGCCCCCTCCCCAAGCTGCTCTCAAGCACCTCCAAGCACCCTGCCTCGGTTTCCCAATCGGCCGAGCACTATGCAATGCTGCGGCGTGCCTGCCGGGCCCCAAAACAGGGAAGGAGTGAGCTTGCAATTACGTGGGTGGGCCCAGGGTCTGCTCCAGGAACTCCTCAATCTTAATGAAGTCTGTTTTCAGCTCCCTGTTGAACAGCAAGAAGGGTGGGTTGGTGCCCGGCGCTAAATCTTTCAACTCTTCAGGTTTCCTGGAGTGGAGAAAAAAAGAGGGTTCAGAGCCTGCAGCCTGTCTGCACCCACCAGCCTCTCTGGGGCGAACGACAAGGCTGAGGTGTGTGTGTGGGAGAGGGCACAGGACCAGAAGCACCCCCACTTGCATGCTCTGCTGGGTTTGGGGGACTGACAAGTGCCCCCCAGCCTCTCCATCTGCCCTGTGGTGCCTCGGACTCGTACCCACATCCAGCAGGACAGGGGTTCCCTGCACCATGCACATGCTGGCACACAGCTGGAGCTCCGTGCTGGCCCACCCCTGCACCCCGCAGCGTGGCGGGCAGTGCGCAGGCAGGGACAGTCACCCCTGTCCCTCTCGCGGTGGCATGCTGGCTGCGGTGCAGGTGGGAGGGAGGAAGGTGCTGATGGGGGAGCTGAGCCAGGGGTGACTCACCCCACTGCTGGCAAAGGGCTGAGCTGTGGTGCCGTCTCACCTGGTCATGTCCACCGTGGTGACATTGAACTTGACCCCCTTGAGCCACAGCACCATGAAGAGGCGCTGGCAGAAGGGGCAGTTTCCGATGTTTTCTCCATCCAGACCAGCCTGCCGGGAAAGCAGAGAAAGGAGGATTTAACCCATCGGCTGGGTTCACCCAGCCCAGACAGGATGCCTCGAGGTGGAGAGCCACCAGAGCCAGTCTCGGAACGAAGGTGCACAGGGGGCTTGGCTGGGCACCCAGCATTGCCCGCTGCAGGGAGCCCCTCCCAGCACCGGGGGCTCGGCTGTAGGATTCCCTCCCTGAGCTGTGGCCCTGCTGCTACTGGAAAGCATCGGAGAGTATCTTCAGGATGCTCAGGGTCATCAGATCCTTCCCAGAAATGTGAGATAAAGCCAGGAGTAAGAGGAGAAGGAGGCCAGGGAAGGAGGTGGAGGGTGGTTGCTGGTGGATGGGGAGGAAGGGAGGGTCCACTTGGCTGGGAGGCCAGGCAGGAGAGGGCGGCAAGAAGGGAAATGTGCTCATGTTTGCCAGGAAAAGAGTGGTTTGTTTTTGTGTGCTGTCAGTGTCTGCCTCCAGTTTCATGTGCATTTAACAAACCCAGGCATGACTTCCCCAGGCTGAGGACGGCCAAGAACCACCCATGCAGCCTCCTCGGCCTCGGGGAGGAGAAGGGGCTGGGGGTGGCTGGGCTGTGCAGAGGTGCACTCATGCTGGCATCCCACCCAGCATCAGTGGGGAACACAGCCGCATGTCAGCTCCTAAAGCTTCAATCACGTGCAGACCATCCCTTTCAACCCCTCCGCATGGGCACAGCCACGGCGTCTCAGCGTCCAGGGGCTGCTCCGTGACCAGGCTGGGGTCAAACAGCAGTGGGAACACAGGAAAGCGAGGAGCTTGGACAACCTGCCTGAGTCCCACCAGGGCTCGGTCATCAGGGTCTCACCCAGGTGACACACATTCAGCAATCCCAAGGGAAAGCAGCAGCAGGTGGAGTGAAGCTGATTTCCTTGCTATGTAGCAGCTGAAAAAACCCTTTGCAAAAAAGGACTGAAACTCCTTATGAGGAGTTTGGTCAAGAGGAACAGGGCAGGTTCCCCTCAGCGCATGAAAACTGACACAGATGTTGCTTAAAGAGGGAAGTTGTGCCGTGGTATGAGAGGTAAAATGGCTCACAGGAAACTTGTCTGCTTTAAGAGAACTATCTGGTTCCTCAGCTGCACATGAACTGTGGTCCTCCGGTGCATGGGGCAGTCCTGCACTGCAGGGAGGAGCAGCACGGCTCATGACAGCTCCTTCACACGGAGCGGCTTGTGTCAGCACATGAGCGCCAGTGGGACAGCTTGTGCCCCATGGCTCTGTGCTAAGCCTTGATATCAGCTGCCGAGCTGCAGGCCAGAGGCTAAGCCGGAGGGTGATGAGATTTGGGAGGATGTGGTAGTGCAGAAATCACGTAGCAGCAATAATATTCAGGGTGGGCAGCTGGAGGTGGCTCCAGAGCTAACACCTCACTGGGGCCCCAAAGATAGGATGGCTGAGGATGCTTCATTAGCAGAAGATGCAGAGACCTGTGCCTGGCTCTCCTGGGTTGGAGGTAAATGCTAGGAGTCACCTGACTGTATCTACAGCTGCCCAGAAACCTGTGGACTCCGGAGCGCTCAGCTTCTCCAGGAGAGATACACCAGCCTCAAACTCACCCTAAGGGAGATAACAGACTGATCAAAACAAACCCCGACACTCTGAGTGGTCAGCTGGAGGTGATGGTCTGCTTTTCCATTCTGCCAACACCTTTTAGTCCTCCCTGAGGAATGAAAATTACTTCTAACCAGTATTTCCTATGCTCAGCTCTCACAAAATGATGCTCCTGAGAAAGGAAATGGGAATAGAGAAATGTATTGATTCTCTGGGATGTACTCAGAAGTGAGGCTGAAGTCACACAAGGCTTTTTGCCTGGCTATTAATAAGAAATGCTCCTGGGTAGCTGCTGCTCAGGAGCGTCCCGTGTCAGCTTATAACAAATAAGGCTTCTTTGGTAACGGACAAAATTGTGTGTCGGGTGCCCTGCAAGGGAGCTGGAGGGGAGAGTCAGAAAACAGCCGCGAGGGCTACCCGTTGGCATGAAAACAGGGCATCTCGGCTCCCCTTCCCCTCTCCATCGCCTCTGGCACCTACAAGCCAAAACTAATGCCGTCCTTCAGAGTATCTCCAACGCCAACAGCTCAGAAGGTGCTTTTGTGGCTGCCCAGCATGAGGACTGACGCTTTCCTCCCTGCTGTCCTGAGGTGGCTCTTGCTGGTGGCAGCCAGGTGGCTGCGCTCTCTTTTGCTCTCCTCGCACAGCACAAGGCTGGGAGCAGGGGGGCTTAATTGCAATTTATCTCGTGGGCCCCACGGGAGCTGTTGTGCTGAGCCAAGGCAGCGAGTGGCTCTGGTGGAGTTGCACAAGGGGCAACAGCGGTGCTGGAGGGGACGGTAGGGCGGGCAGCATGTCCCTCGCTGGGGCTGCTCGGGGTCAGGCTGTGCTCGCCTGCTTCAGGCTTCTCTGTGCTTGTCTTGTAGTTTCAGCCGCTGAGCAGCTCGGGCTGGTTTTCCCCCTTGTCTTTTAAAAATAGAGAGGTGGGGAATTTTGCACCAAAGCGAAAGGAAAGTCAGGACAGCCTCTGCAGGGAAAAAAAGTTTAAGCCAGGCCCATCCTAGGATGCTCAGAGCCAAATCTTTACCTGGAGGAAGCAGAGGGCAGTTCCACTAGCGCTTGGGCACTGCCAGGGGGGGCACTGGGCTCTGGCATGGCGGTGCCGGCACCTGCATGGCTGTGGGCAGAGACCCCAGGAGCCAGGGGAGCTCAGGGGAAAAGGGTTTGGAGAGACTCGTAGGCACACGCCCTCCCTCCCCAGCAAAAGCCAAGCAGCATACCAGGGAAGTCATCGCTCTTGAACTCCTTCTCCGGAGACAGCCTCTCCCCCCTGCTCTGCCCGGCCTGCAGCAGGGACCAGGGCAGGGGGTGCAGAGCCTGCAGCTCCCCCCTCCCCCCTCCCAGACTGACTTTCCTCACTCTTTTTCCTCTCTGGACGACGGATAAACCCAGCGTGGGCTAGCACAGCATCTCCAGGGAGGTGCAGGCTTTTAGCCCCAACTCTCTGAGGCCTCACGAGGCTGCATGAGGCATTAAAACCCCAAAGTTACCAGGCAGTTCCTGTGGTTTCCCCTTGGTGAAACAGCATGAAACGTGGTGGGAGGAGGGAGCAGCTCTGCATGCTCGGGGCACTGCTAAGTGCTCAACGCCCACCAGGATGTGCCCAGGGTTCCTACAGCCACCCCAAAAGCCAGGAAGCAGCCTTGGGCGTGGATAAATGCCTCATAGGGCTGAGGGGCAGAGCATCCTCCCAGGCAGGGAGAGCCCCCCAGCTGGTGGGACGATGCTCTCACTGGGACCACAGCCAGGTGAGAAATTGCCAGACCTTTGGGGACCACCTGCCCCAACCCAAAGGCGACGTAGGAGCTGCTTCGCACCCTCCCCATCCTCACCAGGTGAACTTCAGCATTTGCCAAAGAGAAAGCTGGACAGGGGCAGCGTGCCGGTAGCACTTCAGGAGCACCGGCTCCCATGTGATCTACGGCTATCGTGGGTTACACCGGCAGCCGTGTCTCAGGGCGGACCCCCGCCCAGGAGAGGTGCAAGGTGCTGATGGCATGGGAGGGGGGGTCTGCAGCCGGGAGCTTCAATAAAACTGAGAGGTAGAGAAGGCAGGACAGCATCAATTTGTCTGTTAACGGACAAGGCAGAAGGTTTTCTTCGCGCTAAATTAAGACATAGGGGAAGTCCTGACGGCACTGCTGCTTTGTTTTCTGTTTCCCTTTCCTCTGAAAACCCCCTTGAACGTGCTGTCGCCATTGCAGTCACCTTGTGTATCGTTTTCCTCTTCTCCCCAGCCATCCCAGGGAAAAAGTGGTGAGAAGAAGGGAATTCAAGATCCAAATTGTCTGCGTTCGGCTCAGCCAAGCTCGGTGCCTGGCCAGCATCGCTGTGGCCACAGTTGTGGCAAGGGAATGGGGGAGATCCCTCCCACAAAGGCTCAGATAGTCCTTTCCAACACGTACTTCCAACTACGACCCAAGCAAGGTGCCGTGCGGTGACCAGCACCGAGCTGCCTTAGGAGGAAAGCAGTGAAGCCCGCGGGTTGAGCGGCCGTGGGGAAACAACCCTTAAAACCTCGATGTGGTGGCACAGGGAGGCATCACTCCCCCCCCAGCCACTGTCACTTGACAGCGTGCGCCAGGGCCCCGCTGGCATCGCTGCTGGCACACACAGTTGCCAGCTTCAGCCCCTCTCTTTCTACACCCCACAGGTCCACTGCAGGTATTTTGAAATCAAGTGCTAAAATGTCCAGGAGAAGTGTTCAGAAAATTGCTTAACAGGGGAAAAAAAAAAATCCCAAACATTTCCAGTGAATAATCCCCCCGAGCTGCTCCGTGAAGCCACCCCACCCCGCCCACGTGTGGACACCCGCGCCAGCTCCCCAAGCCGTCCGCGCTCTGTTTCGCAACCCTGGCTTGCAGGAGAAGCCAAAGTGGCTGCTCTCAGCCCTCCTGCTTGCTGTTCCCAGGCTGGGGCTTGTCTTATCTGGGTTTCGAGAGGTGCATGTGTGCCCGCTCCTTCCTTACACCAGCTGCCAGCAGCGCTGTTCCCCCGGGGTACACAACTACTGCAGGGCCAGGGCATCTCCTGGGACGCCGGGCGTGACACCCCACCGGTCCCCACACCACCGCATGCCTGGTCCCCTCCTCTGGGCACCCACTTAGCCAGCTTTCACGGTGAGCAATCCCAGCCTCAGCACCCTTCTCCAGCCTCCTGAAATGTGAGGACACCCACAAATTTCCACCACCTACGCCCAGCTGGAGCCTGGTGAGGACGAGCCTGCGAGGAACTGCCAAAGAGCAACCGTCCCGCCTGAGACCCACCTTCACAAACAGCTCGATCTCAGGCTCCTTGGTGGCGTTGTGCTGCCGACTCTCCATCCCGGCAGTGTGGGGAGGGACCGCTAGCTGCTCACTGCTGCGGTGAGTTGGTCCGTCCTTTGTGGAGCTCCGGGGGGGGAGGCTTGCGGAGGGCTTGTGGCTCGATCCCCTCGGCAGCGTTCGCGCCCCGCGGAGGGCTGGGGCTTGCCCTTTCCGTCCTTTTGAAGCGGGGAGGAGCGATGGGGTGTGCGCCAGGACGGGACCTGCCGGTGGGGAGGGGGAAGCTGTGGGGCCTCCCAGCCGTGACTCAGCACGGGTCTATCTGGACGTGTTCACAGGTCCCCTTCCAGTCTATCGCACCAGCCCAGGCGCTGCTCCGGTGCCTCTGAGCAGCGGGCTGGTGGCCCAGGCAGCCCCGGCACCCCCGCCGTCACCTCCCAGCTGGGAGGGGGGGGGTTTGGCGAGGGAGGGCTCCTCATGCTGCTCCGGTCTGGTCTTGCCCCTCCGCCATCGTTCCAGCCTTGCACCCTGACACCCGGTGCCTCAGGGCGTGCTGCTTCTTTCTCTCTTTGGGGTGAACGGAGATGACCTTCCCACTGCCCTCCCCTCTCCTGCTGCTGCACCTCAATGGGAGGGAGGGGAGGGTACAGCCCCTCTCTCTGCCCACCACCCCCGGGGGTCACCCCAGCTGGGCTCCTCCGAGCACCCCTCGCTGCAAGGAGCAGGGGCTGAGTGGGGCAAGGGTTCAGGGAAGCCGAGTGGGGCAGCCTGGCTGCCTGCCACCAGACTTTTGCAGCGGGACGAGTGCTGCCGGGGCACAGAGCTGGGACAGGAAGGAAGGATTGCAAAACAGCTGAGGAGGGAAAGCAAAGAGGCTGGAGCGTGTCGGGGTGTAGCGGGGAGCCCCAAAGCGCTGCTGGCAGCAGCCCAGCCAGTGCATGGTAGGGTGATGGCAAGGGATGTCTCCAGGGCCGACCCCCGGCAGGGCCCCGTTCCTGGAATTTGGGCTGTTTCACCGGAAGGATGACCAGCTTGCTTTCCTCCCCAGGATGGGAGGGAAGGTCACCGTCAGATCATCCTGGCTGCTGTCCCGGCAGAGATGGCTTCCCAGCACCCATGGGCTTAACTCCTCTCTTGGGTGAGTCCCATCTTGCACCTCAGGACCCCATAGTTGGTACCAAGCTTTTCACAAAATGGGGATCCTGGTTGCTTGACTCAGTTCCACACACCCGCAC